CATTCTTCATAAGGCTTGGTTTCCAAACCCTTGATCATCTTCCTCACCCTACTCTGCACATGTGGTCACCCAACATTACAAGTTGTCACCCCCACCAGCTAACTCTTCTGCCGACAAGCACGCAGAGTCCTATTTCTACATGTGTCATGCATAATACTGTTGCACGCCTCCCCAATCTCCAAGCAGTCTGAGATTCCATGGGTTCCAGGTGCTTATCCAGGGTTTGTGTTTCCTTCTGAATAAAGGACAGCAGAGAATGTGGTGCCTTATGATCTATGGACTTGCCCTACAGCTGCTGCCTTGGATTCCAACAGAAATCTAACCGCTTTGACTCTCACTGCCCAGCTTGCTGCTTCTAGCTCACATCACTCCACTCTCTGCTCTCAACTCTGCCTCTGTCCTTTTAAGTACCTGCAAGTTGAGGAAAGGGATTGCACCCATTTGTCTTCTCCCACAGAGCCCCTTCCTTTGTTCCCCTCAATGGCTCATCATCTAGGCCAGGGGTCAGCAAACTTTTTCAGCAGGGGGCCAGTCCACTGTCCCTCACACCTTGTGGGGGGGTGGACTATATTTTGAAAAGAGAGAAAATGAACAGATTCCTATGCCCCACAAATAACCCAGAGATGCATTTTAAATAAAAGGACACATTCTACTCATGTAAAAACACGCTGATTCCCGGACCATCTGTGGGTCGAATTTGGAAGGCGATTGGGCCGGATCCGGCCCCCAGGCCTTAGTTTGCCTACCCATGACCTAGGCTGTCACCTCACCAGGAAGCTAGCCTGGCTACTCCAAGAATTAGAAGTGGGGACAGGCATGCAGCCTAACCTTTCCCCCAAATTCCTGGCAATCCATCTCTGGCCTTCTAAAAGAACCAAGACAGCAGGGTATTTGAATTCTAAAATCAGCCAGCCAGAGAAGAAGGTGGAAGGTGGAGAAGCTTCTTCATCAGGATCTCCCATAGGTTCGCTGCCTTGATGAAACTTCCCTGATCAACACAGAAGTTTTATATTCTGATTTTATCCTGTGGACCACACTGAGACCTGCGGGTATAGGGCAGTATACAGATTTAATAAATAACAATAATAATAAAGTTTTGGTGATGGTAGCTCTGAGCCTTTCGTTATAGTTTTAAAGGACTTCGGGGTCTGCCAGCTGCAGGTTCTTCTCCAGCGCAAAGTCTCACTCCCCTCACACTTCTTCCTGTGGAAACAGCTGGAGGTGGAGCCTACTGTACAAAGGAAAGAATCGCAGCTACTACTCCACACACCTTTGTCCAGGCCCACCTCTAGCACGTGCTCCTGATGGGATGCTTCCCTCGGGTTGAAAAAGGTTCCCCACCCCATTTTACAAGAGCCTCAGCCCAGATATAACCATTCATAGTTCTCTGAGCCATATATTGTCCTCTCAGTCTGCACTCTACATGGGCAGAGAAACACATAGCTGCATGACAGAAGGAAATTCAGCCTGTGCTGCTTTCACATGAAGATGCAAAGCAGTTACTGATGCAGGAGCCCTCTTGTAAAAGCTGGCAACCCAGCTGTCTTAAAACTATCCAGTCCTGACTCCTTTTTATAGCAGGGGTGGTCTGCCAGATTTTGCTGGACTACACCATTCCTGACCACTGGCCATACTGGTTGAGGTGGATGGAGATTGGAGTCCATTTTGTAGCCTCGTTTTCTTTGTGGAGACATAAGAGCGCTCCAGCAAGACTTCTGTATGCCTTAAAACATTGGGGGGGGCAACCCCTAAAACAAGTTAATGCACATGCCATTCTCAGAGGGAAACTGGGGGTTGCATAGTCTCTCTTTGTTTTGTCTTGTTATTTGCAGTGCTACATATTTTTGTGTTACATTTTCCTGTATTCTGTTTCTGGGCAGAGGAATAACTTTCAGTGTTTGAAATGTAACACAGAAAGCCAACATCTCTTCTCCACCTCCACCCTCACCCCTCTCCTTAGAAGCATGCTGCTGTATAGGTTGACTTCATAATGCCAACCACAGTTTAAGCACAGTTTCCTACAAGCAATAAAAAAGGATATTACTGATCTCTGGGTACCAGTAAACTCTAAAGTCTATGTTTATAAGGCTGTTTATCACAAGGATTTATACTGATTGTAAAACACTGCAGGTGGAAGTAATAAAAATATAATAGGCCAAGGCAGCAATCCTTACTTGGGAGAAAGACCCAGTGAGCTTACTTCTGAGTAGACGTACATATGATTGCACTGTAAGGCAAGTGCTTATTCTTTCTTTGGCTGTGCATTCTCCAAAAAAGACATGTCAGTGCACAAGTATCTATGTTCTAGCCATCTGTTTTAAAATGGGATGACCGTGTTAAAATAAATGAGGCTATAAATTACAATTTATAGGTCCTATATATATAATTTATAGCAAAACCACATCCAGTTCAGTTCATATGTTACATCATGCTTAAAAGACCCCTCAACACTGATTCCCTTGTGTGATGCAAAGACCAACAAAGAATAAAAAGTGCCCAGTTTTTCTGAAATATTTCTAACGTTAATTCCCTCATCTCATAATTGTTTATATCCATGTACCATTAAGTCCCAAATGTTCCTCTTCCACTGCTCTATGGAAGGTATTCTATCTTTTTTCCATGCCTTCAAAATGTAAACCAGGCTCAGAGCAATGCAACGAAGAACCAAAATCTGTGCATTGTTCTGAGCCTGGTGCCTTATGTATTCCAAGAGCATTATTACCTTATTGAATTGGAATATTTTCTTACAGCTCCTCCAGGAAATCTGTTTATTGAGCATTCCTTGAGGTTTGATTGTACGGTGCTTATGTGGAGGTTAGGCTATGATTTTTTGTGAAGCAGCTATACAACAATGAGCATTGATCCTAATTTGCTTGTGGGGTGTTTATAACTCTTCTGGTTACTCATTAGTTCCCATAATCTTCTGTGCATTTTCCCCTCACTTTCATCATCAAATCCCAAAGTGGATTTGTTAGGCTAGGAACAAAGCATTTAATTCAGTTTAACTGAGCAATCTAAACTTCTGGTATGCACTTGAATCCACAGTCTGGAGCACCCTTAACTGCCCCCTCCCAATAATTAAAATAATCCCAATGTGTGATAAAGTACCATTGGCTTTCTTGCATCTCCAGCAAATATCTGTTAGCTGATCTATCTTGTGTATGACACCATTTATATATTACTTTATTCAATCTCTGTTTGAGGCTCATACCCATCTGTCTGCATATAGAGAGCCTTATCTCACCCCAAATCTCCACATTAAATTATTTCTTCCAGTTCTGCGTAGTCCTCCATCATCCCTCTTTTGTACACTTTGGAAAGCAAACTTCTTTGTCTTCTTTTTTCCAGGCAGTAAAAGGTTTCCAAATGCTGTTAAATCTCTGCTTATAAATGCTCTCCTCATAACAGGCTGTATATAAAAATCTGTAATTGAATTGCTATAGCTGAATGTACTCAGCTGCTCAGTTTGTGAGATAGGGTAGATTCCTTTGCTAAGCAGAAACAAAATTTAAAAATTCCTTCCAGTAGCACCTTAGAGACCAACTAAGTTTGTTATTGGTATGAGCTTTTGTGTGCATATCTGAAGAAGTGTGCATGCACACGAAAGCTCATACCAATAACAAACTTAGTAACACACCAATAACAAACTATGTAACACGAGGTGGAACCTCGTGTTACATAGGCTTCAGATTACATATGCTTCAGGTTACACACTCCGCTAACCCAGAAATAGTGCTTCAGCTTAAGAACTTTGCTTCAGGATAAGAACAGAAATTGTGCTCTGGTGGCGCGGCAGCAGCAGGAGGCCCCATTAGCTAAAGTGGTGCTTCAGCTTAAGAACAGTTTCAGGTTAAGTACGGACCTCCGGAACGAATTTAGTACTTAACCCAAGGTACCACTGTACTCCCTTGACTTTTATTTCTATTGTGATTTTTCATGTGCTTCATTATTAAATCACTCCAGATGTGTAAACACAAATAGCAGAGATACTGGGGCATTTTTTTTGGCTTGGATGAAATGAACCTTGTGTGGGCAATTTATACCCCAAAGCTTGAATGTAGCAGCATAAAATCCCCTGAGCCACATAACCACCTGCTTATTCACTAAGGGCAAGACGTATCTAAGGGTGGGTGGAGTCATATGAGATGAAGCAATCCTTCAGATATCATGGCCCTAGCCGCTTAGGGCAGGCGTCAGCAAACTTTTTCAGCAGGGGGCCAGTCCACTGTCCCTCAGACCTTGTGGGGGGGGCTGGACTATTTTTTTGGGGGGGGAGAACGAATTCCTATGCTCCACAAATAACCCAGAGATGCATTTTAAATAAAAGCACACATTCTACTCATGTCAAAACACCAGGCAGGCCCCACAAATAACCCAGAGGTGCATTTTAAATAAAAGGACACATTCTACCCATGTAAAAACACGCTGGTTCCCAGACTGTCCGTGGGCCGGATTGAGAAGGCAATTGGGCTGGATCTGGCCCCCAGGCCTTAGTTTGCCTGTCCATGGCTGAGGGCTTTAAAGGTCAACATCAGAATTTTGAGTCAAGTCCCGAAGCAAACAGGGAACCAGTGATACTGACATGGGAGAAATGTTACACTTATTTAGGAACAGAGCCCTTCACAGAAGCCAGGATTGAGATTGGGGTGATTACAAAAATCATCCTGAGGTGGCAGAATATGGTTGGTTAGAAGTGACCTTGGTTGATCGAGCTATGCAAGTGAACGGAAAAGAGCAGCCTGGCTGGTGGTGCTTGGTGCCTCACTGGTCCATGGCATCTCTGTTGCTGGCCTCATGGGAGTGCCCTGGTTCCACATTCCTGCATGTCATGGAAGAACCAATCTCAGGCCTGAAACAAAATCAGGATATCTTGCTGTGGGGTGAGAGAGAGGGAGAGATTCCAAAAATAACACATTTACTAGATTTTTGTTTTACTGATAAGTCATTGTGAAACAAGCATGTTCTGTCTTTAATCCGCCTGCACACTTTATATTCCATAGATTATTGGGAAGCCTATTCAATACATCTTTCCCCATGCAAGGCTGAAATTGCCGAGGGACCCAAAGGACCACTCTGTTTCAGGTAAAGCAAGCAAGAACATCTGGCGCCACAAGAATATGGATTATATGGCATGCAAATGAAGTATGAGGTGACTGTCCATCATATAGTAAGCAGTTGTTCATCTTGGATAAGTGGCAACACTCTATGAGAACAGAACATGATACATGTTAGATGCAGTGTTAGAAACTGACATATGAAAGCGAGGAGCAAAATGGCACCTTAAACCTAGGATATGGGTTCAACAACAGAATGTCTAGGTGCGCTTTCTTTATAACAAGAATACAAAGCTGAAAATGAATGAACTGCAGCTAAAATATTATGTTCATTATTCACATGGTCTGGTTCTTCCCCTGCCCACCACCCTAATATTCTTAAAAGGGTCTCTTCTCCAGTCTTCAGAGAGTAGCTGTAAGGGGGGGGGCAAAAAAAGGTCCTCCTTTCCTTTCCCTCTGCAGTTTTTTAATCTGAAATCTTAGTCGCAGTACTGCGCCCAGAGCTCAGAAACTGCTTGCCCTAATGAAATCCCCTGTCGCAAAATGCACCTAGAACAAGGGGAGTTTCAGACATTGGTTAGGTACAACAGTGCTTAATAAAAACATAAGTTAAACACTATGTAAATAAATAGAGAAATAAATACTTTAAGAACCATGCTTCTGAAGGACATGCAAATGGCTGTTTGTCTGTGTATGTATATCAATTTGTCTCCATTCCCTCTTTTCTGTTGATTGGATGTTTTAAGCCTCCCTATTGTCAAGGAGACGCGGGTGGCGCTGTGGGTAAAACCTCAGCGCCTAGGACTTGCCGATCACATGGTTGACAGTTCAAATCCCCGCAGCGGGGTGCGCTCCCGTCGCTCAGTCCCAGCGCCTGCCAACCTAGCAGTTCGAAAGCACCCCCGGGTGCAAGTAGATAAATAGGAACTGCTTACCAGCGGGAAGGTAAACGGCGTTCCGTGTGCTGCGCTGGCTCGCCAGATGCAGCTTGTCACACTGGCCACGTGACCCGGAAGTGTCTGCGGATAGCGCTGGCCCTTGGCCTCTTAAGTGAGATGGGCGCACAACCCCAGAGTCTGGGAAGACTGGCCCGTACGGGCAGGGGTACCTTTACCTTTACTTTTCCTTTATTGTCAAGGCAGAGCCCCCTAGCCAGCTTAGCCCCCCCCCCCCGGCAAATGCATTGGGCTGCCCCCTCCCTCTGTATAGGTCTGGGTGCCACAGCTGGAAGACTATTGCTGCAGCTCCCGCCTCCACTGAGAAAGCCCCTTCTTCTGTACACACACGCTCCCCCCTCCTTTATTTCATGGAGGTTTGTCATTTCTGCATATTTTTTGTATGTATAAACAACAAAAATGCAAAGTGAATAAACTAACACCTCAAGAGTTTATGCCTCTGAACCAAGCCCATCAACAGAATGTTGTTTTTACATAAGCTGTTGGAGTGCAGGTCTTCTGAAAGAAAAGAGCTCAAACCAAACATGTTCAAATGAAATTTCAGATGATTTATATGATTTGCATATATTAGGGTTTCTTAAGAAAAAAAGCCTTAATATGTTATTTAAGTGCACTGTAAAACTAAATAATGATGATGATGATGATGATGCTTAAACACTAAGGAGTAGGATAGAACAACCAATTCTGTTCTTTGCGTATTGAAACATGTGATTTAAGTTTAAATGCTAGTTATTTTTTGTTTCCTATGAAGTTATTTGCCCACGGTAATGTGTTGCTGGAGATCAAATTGGGAGCTCAGTTAAAAACATGCTCAATTAATTGCCATTCCTCAAGCTTTGAAGCAACTTGAAAGGATTTTATCTAAATGTATAAAATTCCCTTTGAAATGTTGTTTCCCCAACAAGAAGTTTCATGATAATCAGAAGGTCAGAGTTTTAAGAAGATTTCCTGTGGAATTCATTGAGCCTCTTGCTTATTGCTGACTGGTTTTCTAGCATAACAATCAAGTCTCTGAAAAAAGGGAGAAAATAAGAGAAATAAGAAATCTGCATTTAGGTATGGAAATTCAAATTCAGACATTTTTGGCTACTTCTCACACTAAGGATCACTCTCCCAGTATATATACCTGAAGATAGTTTATCATGGGATAGTTTATCATTGCTTTTTCCAGAACCACTGGAAACCTCCTTCTTCCCCAGCTGCAACAAAACATGTCTCTCCCCTATCAGCCTCTACAGCCACAGCAGGAGCCACAACTCTCCCAGCAGTTTGACTTCACCCCCGAAGGCGCACTCCTCCATTGTCCCCCGAGACAGACGGAGGCCAACAACTTCACAGAACGTTTAATCACACAAGACATATCATATTTGGTTACTACCATAAATGTCACTTGAACACATTTGTCAGCAAAATATCCTGATTCGTGACAGAACAGGGGGAGACGGTGGAGGAGGAGGAGAAGCATTTTGGACCCATGTGTGCCTTGTGTTCAAAAGAACGTGTGAGCGCAGGAGGGTCTGGTGGAGGTTTGCAAGTGTGTTGAGCTCGAATGGATGCAGACAGTATGTGCAACAACTTCGTGGGTGTGCTCACACTTTGCTTACCATGTAAAATGAGCTCGTCACCAAAAGGCCCATTTACATGAAGGTCTAATTTAAGATAAGCTCTGCTAGATCAGACCAAAGGCCCATCTGTTCCACTCTCCTGTTCTCACAGTTGCCATCCAGGCACCTATGGGAAGCCCGGAAGCCAGACCTGAGCACAAGAGCATTCTCTCCTCCTGTGGTTTCCAGCCACTGCCCTGCCTTCCACAGTGTGTGTGTGTGTGAGAGAGAGAGAGAGAGAGAGAGAGAGAGGCATTGTACTCCGATAAAAACGGAAGATAACTTAAACGACTGCAAGCATGTGCAATTAATGCTGGAAGACAGCACTGAGCAATTAGCCTTTTATGACTTGATACTGTAATCACATTTGTGATTCTGGCTTTTATCTCAGGAATTCCCCCCCCCCATCTACCCCCCCCAAAAAAATATTGGGAACATATAAATTATAAAGATTGCGGGCTACATTAAGCATGCATTAATTGCTATCATATTAGTACTTAGATTTCTTAATCTCTTTAGTGGAATAAAACTACCATTACCAATTTTGCTCAGATGAGAGATCGGTGAAATTTTATTCTGCTTTCTGGGAATATTCAGGGCTTTGACGTTCTTTTGCTCAACTTTTATGAGGCTTTTTTATTTTTTAAAAAAGCTGTGGCTGGCAAACAAATTAAAAGCTCATCTTGGTTTGGCGTCTCACCTTCTTGACATCAACCACTTGCTTGTCTGTAGTTCACTTTGTATGATCATGGGGAATAACTGTTAGGAAATCAAGCCTTTATCAGGAGAAACTGGCCACTCTCCATGCACCCGGCTTGATCTCCTGGTGACCTCCCCGTCTGCATTCCCGAGCAGGATACAGGCTAGGTCGCGATCGGCGATCCTCCTCAAGCGTGAGAAGAACACACCACTCTTCCCTGCCCTGCCCTGCCCAGGCAGGGGAAAGAGATAGACAGAAATGTATTTACATGCCTTTATTTCTGTCTTTGCAGCGTTACAGAGAAACACGTCTGCTCTCTTCAAACTCCAACAGCAGAGAGACAAACTCCACCTCCTGTACTTCCTGTACAGCTCATGTTACACTCTGAGCTAAATCCGGTGCTCAGCACTGTGAATAGACTGTCCCTCTGTTTCCCACGGAACAGTCCCAACATTCCCATTATGTTTTGCTTTCATGCTAGCAGCTGCTCGCGGCTGCATTGCTTCTATATCATAACAATAACTAATAATGATAACCCCTGAATGGACAAGGGATTACACAGCAAAACAAACTTTGGTTTTCTTACATCAGTGAGCTGACAGATAATATTAATTAGATAATTAATATTAATTAATATTAATATTATTTATTAATTTAATTATTAGATAATATAATAGATAATAGAATAAGAATTAATAATTAATATTAATTCTTGCATCACTTCTCGGTCTTTTGGCTAAGGTCCAGTGTAGTGTGTGTATTAATTCTTGTACAAAATAGGGGAATTTAATGGTATTTAATGTTATTTAATGGTATTTACTATTTTACTGTGGTGTTTATATTATTGTTTGTGTTTTACATATATTTGAGTACTTTGGTAGAAAACCAGCAAGTAAGAATGAAAATAGAGAAATATTGATCACTACTGATGCCTTTTTTCTATACATTTTTAATATGTGTGTGCTTTTTTCCCTCCTGGATGCAGGCAATGGACTTGGGATCCGAGTTGTAGGAGGGAAAGAAATTCCTGGAATCAATGGAGAAATTGGTGCTTACATTGCTAAGATCCTGCCTGGTGGAAGTGCTGAGCAAACAGGGAAACTTGTAGAAGGTAAAGTACTTACCCTGTCTTGTTCAAAGCTATTCAGGAAATGTGTGCAGAGATCCTTGAGGTGAAACAGAGGGAGTCCTGGGAAATACAAGACAGGGGACCTAGTCATTCCTCAACTATGGGATGGAAGGCTCTCCCCAGAGAGGCCTGCCTGGTGTCAAGAGTACTAATTTTTGGCAGCCGGCAGAGGCATTTGAGTGCTCAGTTTTTTCTCCTGCTGCTTCTTAGTTCACCATTTTGGTGGTGATCATATTGATGGAGTTGCAGAAGAGAGGTTTCAGTTGTTGGGAACTGGTGTATGACCAGATTATGCTTTTAATTGTATTTTATTGTATGAGAGAGAGGGGCGGGAGATTTGATGTAAGGTTGTAGAATAATAAATAAATATTAAAAACAAAAAAAATTCCTTCCAGTAGCACCTTAAAGACCAACTAAGTTAGTTCTTGGTATGAGCTTTCGTGTGCATGCACACTTCTTCAGAAGTGGTATCTGAAGAAGTGTGCATGCACACGAAAGCTCATACCAAGAACTAACTTAATTGGTCTTTAAGGTGCTACTGGAAGGAATTTTTTTTGTTTTGACTATGGCAGACCAACATGGCTACCTATCTGTAAATAAATATTAAATGATTAAAACAGCAAGATCACCACAATGAAGTCCAAAACACAAAGAGCTAAGGAGATAAATGGATAATGGGAAATCAGTCCCTCCCTGAGTGGGGGTCCCTCTGGGTGGGTCCAGGACATGGCTAAAATCTCTTTATGTGATGGGGTGGTCCCCACTGCCTTTTCTAAGGAAGGCCACCCTGGATCCAATAGTTATTGACAGCTGCACCCAGTTGCTAACATTATTATTATTAAAATTTCTATACCGCCCTATACCTGCAGCTCTCAGCACCCCTGCTGATTCTCCTGGATCTCTCAGTGGCCTTTGATATCACTGGCCATGCTACTCTATGGGATCGGCTTTGTGAGTCAGGCATGGGAGGCCCTGTGTTGCAGTCGTTCTGCTCTTACCTACATAGCGATTCCAGAAAGTAGCGTTGGGTGACTTCCTTTCAGCCCCTTGGGAGTTGTTCTGTGGGGTGCCATGGGGCACTATTTTGTCCCCAGAGCTATTCATCATCTATCTACAAAGCCATGCAGATTGTTCACTGGGAGCTTTAGCATACAGCTCCATTCCTCTGCAGCATCTGGATCATGAGCTTCTGTGCAAGTCCTGGACTCATTAATGGGCAGGATAAGAGTCAACAAGCTGGACCTGAATCCCAAAACAAAAGTTTTGTGGGTTCCTAGTTCTGGATGGGCTGCAGTCCCTCTGAAAGAACAGGTACATAGCTTGGGGCTACTGCTTGATCCAGTGTTGTCACAGGATGTTGATTTGTCTTGAGTGTCTAGGACTGCCCTTTACCAGCTTTTGCTGTTACATCAGCTGCAACCATTCGTGGGCAGGGATAGCTTGGCAACAGTGGTCCATGCATTGAAACCTCTGGACTTGATTACTGTAATGAACTTCACAGGGAATTGCCCTTGAATTTGATATGTAAGCTAAAGCTAACGCAAAATGCTGCTGCACAGTTGCTTTCTGGGGCAAGCTATGTATGGGCAACATGTGACACCTCTGATGAAAGGTGCCAACTTTCTCCCAAACTAGAATCAGGGTTTTATTATCGATATATATGGTAATTGATGTTTAGTTCTTGCTGGATTTTATGCCTTAATACTGCTTTTATGACCCGCATTCTGCTTTATATTCTATTTCTGTAGTCTACACTATTATGCTGGTATATTGTTTAGTTGTATTTTCCTATTTTATTGTCAGTGGAGTTGTTCTTTGTTGATTGCAAACTGTTTTGTAGAGGAAGTTGCTCAAAAAGCTGGGTATGAAAATAAAGGAATAGGTGTTGTCAGAGCTGGCTCCAGGTCCCAGCTCACAGAGGACCCACGCTAGCCGGTAGTAATGTACAAAAGTCTTTATTGAAGTACAGTTTCCATTTCCAAGCCGCAGCGCCCCAGCTCTACGTCTTAGAGGCTAGACCGGCGAAGCTCCATCTGAGTCTCCACCCCCTGTACACCAGCTTAAGACTCTAACCTTACTCCACCTCTTCCGTCTCTCCTTTCTCCTCTGGGTCCTTCTGCCCCCGGGGTCTCCTCCTTTCTGGACTCTTCTGACGCTGACGCTGACCCCCCTGACTCCTCCCCCTCCTTTCGGCGGGCTTTGGGACCTGGCTCCCTATCCGGGCTGCCAACTGCGCCGCCCTCCTGTACATTTGAACTTGGCGCGCGCGCCCAGCCTTCCACCTTCCTCTTGACCGTTTCCTCGCTCTCCGATGGAGGCGTGGCCAATCCTGACTCCTCTCCTCCCGCTGGCGGTGAGCCTCCTGGTCCCGATACCTGGGACTCCTCCCCCCTACTGCGCTCTGGTGGGGAAGCTGGTCCTGATTTCCAACTGCTGCTCTCTGAGTCCCCTCTGGCCCCTTCTTCCTGGGGTGTCCCCCTAGGCACCCCCCTTGCTCTGACCATGGGAGCCCCTTTCTGTGAATCTTCCGATTCGCTGGAAAGACTCAGAGACCTCGGACCGCTGTCATCGCTAACATTTCCTTCAGATTCCTCCCCCTCGCTCTCTATTTCCCCCCTTTCCTGTGCCTCTGCTCCTGAGCCCCTGACAGGTGTCATGGCAAAGGTTGGCAGCTGAGAACTTCCTCTGACTGTAAGCAATGAAAGGGACTATAGGCTGGCCACAGATTACATGTGCCATGTGAAAAGGAGCCATGTGCAGCCAACTTTTAAAGGCTTCTCGCAAGATAAGCAGAGAAAGGTGGAAGGGATTGTTTTGCCATTTTGTGCTTTTCTCCTCCAATTATTTTTCTGTGTTGGCCTCATCTCCCCCTAGCAGCTAATTGTCTCTGCTAAAAGTGATATTATAACTATCTATCACCACTGAGCTGTGTGGGGCTTTTGGCTATTAAGGGGCAATTGAATCCAATGTGCTAGCAAAATCTGGAGGTTCTAGCTCAGGGTATCTTTAAAGATTTTTTATTATTATATCTTAGAGGGTCATTGCATACTTTTAGTTCTTCATGGTTCCAAAAATATTCCTTTTATCAAAGAGACTGTTTCTTTGATACTTTCAAAGTTCTTAGAGCATTGTATTCTATTAATAGTGTGCTGGTCTTGGTGGAAAATATAATACATTGCAAGCTGCTGTGACAGAGTCTAGTCTTAAGGGTGAAATATCTATACTCTTTTCTTCTATATTTTAAGAATCGGCCTGGCAGAGACATCTTGCAGTAGATTAATACAAACTGTTTGATGAGGCATGTGGCTTTAAAAGATCGGAACATCTTGATATTTGCCAGTAGAACTATTTCAAGAGGATAGGTAGCCCTTTTAGTCTCTTGCATCTAAAGCAACAAGGATTATTGTGGCACCTTAAGAACAAATACATTCTGCATAAACTTCACAAGGTGCACGAGGTCATCCAGAATTATAGATAATAATTTACATGGTATGTGTGTCTGCAAATAGTGAAGTCAGAAGGAAATGAAAATATTGCAGAAGGAGAAAAAGAGTATTCAGAAATCAGTACAGTTCGTTGCTTTATGCTTCATTGTTATTTTCAGCAACATTTTGGGAGGCTGTTGCTAATGATGAACAGACTGTAATGGCTTGTTGGTCTGTCAGTATAAAATTACAGGTTTTTTTGCACCAGCCAAAACATTGTTTTGCCCCATTCTCTGGCTAAAGAAAGGTTTTCCTGCACGTACTTGGGGCTCCTCCACACTTTACTTTGTCCCACAGTTTTCTCTGTTTGTCCCGTGGTTTCTATTTTTTTTTTTAATAAAATTTTTATTTGGTTTTCTGGTTTTATAAAGACAAAACATACACAAAGAAAAGAAAAAGACAAAAACATGTATAAAATCAACCAATCCCCGTTTCATAAACTTGTTCCCTGACTTCCCCCCACCTCCCCTCGTGCATCCCAGTTTCAAGATTATATCAGCAAGTTGGTATTTCTCCTCTTAACAATGTTATTCATCACCTTATTTTATAATAAAAATTAATTTTCCTAAGTTGGACTTAAGTTCTCTTCCATCGATTTTCATTTTATCTTAATTAAGAGTCATATTAACCAAACCTAAAAGTCTTAAGAGTTTTTAAGAGTCTCTTCTTCCCTCCCTCCCATCCCCGGTTTTTGTCCCTTCCCAATAAAAGTCCAAATTCGAATTTCTCAGCCTGGGTTCCTCACGTCCGAGGCTTTCAAATCCCTTTCAGTCCCTCTCCGCCTGTCCCGTTGGTAGTCCTTTATGTCAGTCATCAAATCTGGGAAAAGTTCTTTCACCATCAAAGTGTTTCCTCTTCCCACAAGGGGGTTCAAAAGTAACTGCTGAAGAATTTCCACAAAGCCTATCTCTTCAAGATCAAAGTCCAAACGGAGGCCCCAAGCATATTTCTTTATTTTAAATTTCTGTGTTCCATTTTGTCCCGGGACCTCCTTCTTCTTCTTCTGTATCTTTCGCAGACTTGTAGTAGATATGTTCCCAGCGTTTCCTTGCTTATGTTCCGCAGATGTCAACTTTTGGTTGTTACTTCCCAGGATTACTTCTTCTTTTTCTTGTTGTTTAGTCTCTTCCAACTCTGTAGGTATTGTTTCCCATTCAGCTGTGAATTCTTTCTCGTTGAGGTCCTCAATACAAAGAGCAGAGTTGCCTGTTCCCAAGGTCATAGTCTCAAGCTGTTTATTCATGGCCAAGCTCTGCTCTTGTAAAGTTCCCACCAATTGAAACATCCTTTCAATTTCCACCAGTAACTTTCCTTCCACAGCCATTGTATCCATTGTAGTTTCACAGAATTCCCCCTAGGGGGAATCTGGTTACTTATTAGCCTTTTCACCAACAATCCTTTCACTGATTATTATTACTTTGTTTCCGACGATTTTAGCTCAATTGTAACTCGTCTTAGTCCAGAGATGACAATTTTTGCACTTTAAACCGACCGTTT